TTTATTATTTCCATTTATATTTTCACTTTTCCAATCTTTTCATTTACATCATTACTTTTTACTTTTTCTAGTCGTATTTTTGCTTATCCTTAAATATGATACGGATAGTAATTCTATATAGTTATGAGGAGGCAACTTTTATGAGAATAACGTACTGACTAGGAGTTTAATTTCTGCATCATCGGGATAGATGAATTTGCTCAGTATTGATCGGTTCCTGAAGCAAAATCTTAGAGCAGAGCGTTCTACTTTAACAATATCAAACTTTTTTTGTCTATAGATATTTATAAGGCGTCTAGCCCAGCCATGAAACTCCTCTGGGAGGGTGGAAATGCGTACATATCGAAGTAGTTGTGATATAATAACACCTTCTTGTACCGTATGGTCCATATCGCTCTCAGGATGCCCACCGTAATTAATTGTGAAAGGGTAGTCCAAGATCTTATTGGATATGCTAAAAATGCATCTGCCATCTTGGCAGAGAATTTCGAGGTTTAAGAAACAGGCACGTTGTCCGGAGTAAGTGGTATTGAGTTGTAGGCTGAGCCCATAGACGTTGTTGGCAATTTCAGCAAAGTCGGCGCAGTCGACAATTAGAATATTATCAATATATTTGTAACATTTATTGTTGATGTGATGAAATTTAGGCGAGGTGACGCTGCTCAAACGCCTTCACCATCCACACATTATTGGATACTACGAGTCATTCAAGGCATGCCTTTGTTCTTTTTTTTTGCTCGTTTCATCAGTTTTATGAACTATTGGCGTAGTTATGCTGAGATCGACTGAGATTCAAAAAAGCTGGGATTCTTTGTTTTTTCTCAGACAGAGAACGCTTTTTCAATAGTGATGCAGTACGCTGAAGGCGGTACAATGGACAGGATGATTTCCGAGCGCAAAGGCGTCAAATTCAACGAAAGTACTGTACTTAATTACTTTACTCAGGTTTGTTCTGTTCAAAAATATAGGGGAAATTTATCGAAATTATGCAGCATATGTTCTGTATCGCTGTTTACGATTTCACAAGTCATTTTTCTTCCACAGTTCATTTTCTCAAATGTTTTTTCTCCAACTTCTTTGCCTCTGAAGAATTTTTCTGTAGTTCAGGGCTCGCCTAGTCGTTCTAAATGCGAAAGGAGATTCTCCTCTATTTTGGGGTTCCCTGTTTTTGCGTTACTGAAAAATTGGATTTTTCTTGAAAAGTTGTTTTTATTTGTTTTAAAAATTACCCATTTCATTGTGGCAGTGTCACCGGAACACTAAACATTTTTTGCAACCTTAGCTGCTTTCCTGTATTGTGACAGGGGATTATTTCAGGTAGCAATTGGGCTGGAATACATGCACTCTAAGCAAATACTTCATCGCGATTTGAAAACGCAAAATATTTTGTTGAATAAAAAACGGACAATCGTGAAATTAAGTGACTTCGGAATCAGTAAAGAATTGACCACAAGGAGTTTGGCGTCAACGGTGGTTGGAACGCCAAATTACCTCTCTCCAGAAATTTGTGAAGGTCCATTTTTGTTTTAATTTAATTGTAGCTTTAACATTTTACGAATCTGTTTTTCCACTTGCAACAAAAAAATCCTGCACTTTAGATTCGACGTTCTTGAACAGCTTGTTTAAATTATTCATTTCAGGCAGAGCATACAATCAGAAGAGTGATTTATGGGCCTTAGGTTGTGTATTATATGAACTTGCGGAACTCAGGCGGGCGTTTGACGGTGAAAATCTACCATCAATTGTCATGAAAATTACGAAAGTATGCCTTACTTAGTTGTTTTGCAATTGCTTCTTCAACTGGGTGAAATCAAAAAAGTGCCTTTCGCTGAAGGCCAGCAGTAACTTTTTGATTAATCTTGAGATGCGCTTGTCTTTCCTTTCACTCCCCTCACTTTTTCGTGGATAACCAGTGCATCTTTTCAGGGTAAATATAATCCAGTCAGTGAGCACTGGAGCGTTGAGCTGAAGCAGTTAATAAGCGCTATACTAGATGTTAATGAGAAAAAAAGGCCTCTCTTAAAAGGTTGGTTATTTTCAACAGCAGTAAAAGGAAATCACCCAGCAGTACTCCGATAAATTCGAGTTTTTGCAATTTTCAATCTAAATCGTCGCAACATACTTGCACACACTTATATACACAGTCAAAATTAAGCAGACTGAGACTCCTTTTCGTAACTGTTTAAGCATACAAAAAGAGGAGTTTGTGCGTTTCGACACAGGCTGCTTTTCCTAAGTCATCGACATAAAGCGACAGTTGCCTGTAACAGGAGCAAATAATTGACCAACACATGGGCTGCCCGTGGGAAGATGCGTTTTTTGCATAGCTCCTCGCAGATTTTTGTCGCGAACGGCACTGGTTTTTCTGATAGATGCTTCTAGCTAAAAGAATTTCAGACTAGCCGCCAGGACACTCAGGAAACATCCCTTCAAAATTCCA